GTCTGCGTAGGAGGGGGGTTGGGGGGTCAAGGGTAAGGGTGAAAAAAATGAAATTTTGAAATTGAAATATTTTTTGAAAACAAACTTAAAATTATTTTTTTTGGAGGGGGGGGTGGTTGGGGGCAGGTTTGAAGTTGGAAGAGAGTTTTGGAAAATGTTTTCCATAAGTTTTGAAGGGAAGTCATTTTCCTTAAATTTGAGGAAAATGAGTTGATTTGGAAAACATTTTCCAAAACATTTAGCCCAACCAAACATGAGAAAATTGGAAAACATTTTCCGGAAAATGTTTTCCTTCATACCAAACACACCCTTAGAGGCAAAAGTGCTAAATATTTAGGTCATAAGAAAAAACAAAATATAAATAAACATCCCGCCGTGACCTATCGCCGGCAAGTATCTCCGAAACCACCGCAAACGGCAAAATTTCATACCTTCTTCGGCATTCTTCCGGCTGAACATCGCCGGAGATATCAGAATACTGATACACTTGCTTTGTGCCTGTAGAAGAATCAAAACTGAAAAAAGTGAAGAAAGAGCATTAACAGAGCAATGGATCGGTTAGTAGCAGCAAAGGAACTATCTTTTCGAATAGGGTTTACTGGACACAGTGGTCACCTCACGATCGAGCCTCTCCCTCCTGTTGAGCGCGATACTCCTCTCAATTCTATTCCTGATTTCATTTTGGTAAGCTTTTCTGTCACTCACACTCCTTATTTTAACTTTTATTAAGTGCTTCATTTGGTACGAGGGATAAGAGGTAATAATCCCGCTATAAAATGCAGACTGTGTTTGGTTAGAGATAATAATTAATCACGAAATACCCCTAAGGGTGGTATTGGGGTCACCTTGCTTGCAACTGGGACTTGTCAAAACATGAAACTTTCTACAGAGATGTATCTAGAATTTTTAGGCATTAGGTCCTGAATTAAGGTGTAGCATTTGAACTGCTATGTAGGCATTTGTTTACCAAGTGTTCAAATCCCACTCTTTCTGCACTTTCACCTAATTCATTGATGATAATGATTGAAATGTGTCAATTAGCAATGGAAATAATGATTCCAAGAGCATTTTCTTAGTCTTTTTCTAGCTTGATTGCCATATATGGTTTGGATAAATAAGTTGGAAATAAGTTCTTTCACCGAAAGGGAAGCAATAGATGGTTGGATCTTGGGATAGGAGGGAGAGTGATTGGAATGACGTTGGGTAGAAAGAGGGATTTAATGCTCTTTAAAAGGCATTTCATCTATATTAGGTTCTATTATTTTTTAACAACTATCTGAAAACATGTGTTTACTTGGAATGTCTTTCAAGTTTCATCCAAGTCTTTGCTCTAGCATGAAAAGTTCCTTTTTTAGGAAGGACAAGTTACCATTATACGTTTTGTATTATCGAGCCCTACTATGGTCTTAGCACACATACACACACTCTAGCATACATGCTCACGCACATTAGGTGTTCATCCATTTTAGGTTTTATTACTTCATAACAGTTATCTACAACATATGTGGAGCTGGAATGAGGTCTCTGATAGGAATACATGTTAATCAATCACATGTAAATAGGGTTTGAATCAGAATTCGCAGGTTTCATTGAACCCGTACTGGATAGGACTTACTACTTGGTAACTCTGTCAATCAAGATTTAGGTATATGAGAAGAAATTACTTAGCTTTTTATATATTTACACTCCCTATCTATACACTCCTGAAGATTTTACAGTTCTATGTTTTTACTTATTTTAGTTTGTTGATTGAATGCATGTTCGTTAGCCACCAATGAAAAGAGGAAAATGAATTTTAAATTAATATGACTTATTTATGACAACAATGAGAACTACACTTAATTCCAAATTGTTGGGTCAATTATATGGATACTCTTTCTTCATTCTGCTATATTTGAACCGTTATATGCTCCCTACATAGGCAGTAACCCTTGGGGGTTTAAGGGGAGAGTGAATACATCATAATCTGACAAATATTTCCAACCAACAACCACACTACCGTGGTCGGAAGCACCTCACAACAAAACCCCCCGAACTAGAATCTTGTCGGAAGCGGCACACGCCCACATGTGTCACCTAGCAGTAGCACTTCTTCGATGACTGCAGGCACGCGAGCCTTTGTCATAAAACTTCTGTTAATATTTTCTTCTTCCAAGGTGCTCTATCGCCATCCTAAAGTTTTCCAGTCTAGGTGAATGCTCTTCCTGGTGATCAGAGAAGCGATAACTGCTTTCCGATTGATTTTGATGACTTTTTTGCTTTGCTGACTACATTTCAGCGTCATTCTTTCTTTAGGGAGTTCACTTTTCATAATTGAGTTTGATCATCCATGTCAGGCCTTATCCGGTGACCAGAGAGCAACAATACAAGTTTTTGAGTGTCTTCTTAGCTTTCCCATCAACTGTTTTCCTCTTTGTTCCATTATCCAGATATCAATTGGATGGTGGTTAACGGAGGAGGCTATTTCTTTTCTGTTGAATCAAAGAAGATTAATAATTAAGTTGTTCATGCCCCCAAGGCCTAGCTCAAGTGGCAAAAAGGTGGAGGATTTGTGGCTTAGGTCGCAGGTTCATGCCCCACACCATGCAAAGCAAAGCTTGGTATTTAAGTGGAGAAAGGTAGAGGGGCAGGCCCATTATCCACTGAGTTTAGAAGGCTGTGATTGGTCCAAAGGGCGGGTCATGACGGATTTTTCGGTTATCAAAAATAAAATAAAAAATTAAGTTGTTCATGAATGTTGTGATGTGACTACAATTAAATTTAATGAACCAATATTTAGGATTCAAGTGAGTATACCAAGAGGGGGAAGAGATTTGCAAGGACGTGTTTGGTAGGGTGTTTCAGAAAGTGGGTGTGTTCACCGGAAGCTATTACACACTGGTGTTTGGGGCATGGTAACCTTTTGAAGACTGAAGATGGATGTGCAGAAATTTTTGAAGCTTGAAAGATAGAACGAGATGTAAGGATATGTTGACCTAAGTTTGCTAGCGATGTTATTGTTGGGAACTTTGTTGGGCTATAGGTACACATGTTGTTTTGACCTTTTTAAAGAAAGTAGGAGATGCATGTTTATTTTTGTAAATGCTATATATGTCACACATGATATGTCATGTATTAGGATTTTGGTACCCTTAGGGGTGGCCCAGTGGTTTGGGCTTGGGACTTCCATGTTGGAGGTCTCAAGTTCGAAACCCCTTGCCAGCGAAAGCAAGGGGTTTGCCTTCTGGGTCGAGCTCGTCGCATCGGGCTTGCCTAGTGTGGGTTACCTCTCCTATGTGGTTTGCGAGCTATTGCATAGGAGCGGGGGTTTTACCCTTAGTTGCGCGGACTCTTCACTTTTGATGCTGCACCCATCTCGGATTCTTTAAAAATACACTACTTTTGGCGAATCCGACACGCACCCGTTGGCATTTTTGAAGAGTCCGAGCAACATAGGTTTTACCCTGTGCGCACTTAAAGGGTAGCGGCTGCGGGTTTTCCTTGTCATAAAAAAAAATGTATTAGGATTTTGGTGAGAAATGTTGGTAGGGTACCACCATCTATTATGATCTGTGATGGGGAATGGGGCACATTGTTTCAGTGTTCTTAGAGTTAAATAGTGAGCCGCTCTCTCTGGACTAGATAAGTCTGTCAGGATTTGGAGGAGAGACAAGGGGATTACAAGGAGAAATGGAGGGAAGTATTGCGTGTAAGAAGAGGCAAGTTCTCATGGTCTGCAATTATAGTGTGATAGTCGAACAATGAGTATGTCTACGGTAAAGTTGGCGAGCATTTTGATGTGGGAGAGATGTAATTTGAAAATATGGCAAAAAAATGGGAGTGTCCTTGAATTAGGTCACCAATAGGAGGAATAGGTTGAATCAACAACTATGCCTCACTCCTCTATAAGTTGGGAGTAGTTGTATGATTGTCACTAATCATGTTTTTCAATTTAAGCTCAACTCGTGCCATCATTATACCAAATAAAACTTAGAAAGAAAAAATCAAGCTACATATATGTAGTAATTGCACTATTTTACTGTAGTTGTTCCTTTTTTCTTTATATTTTGCTTTGTCATGCTTTCTATAGCATCTACTTTGATATGCTTTTCCTTGAGTTGAGGGTTTATCGTAAACAACCTCTCTACCTCCCAAGGTAGGGTAAGGTCTAGGTACACCCAAACTCATTTGTGGGATTACACCGGGTATTTTTAAAAAATATCTAAATAATAGTAGTAATGACAACAACAATATAATAATGATAATAATATTAATAGATTGCTAAAATACAAGTGGGAAAGAGAGGAAAGGGATTATTTGCCTTGGGGTGAGGACTAAATTTGTCACTCCAAATGAGTGACCCAACCCTTTCTTAGGCTGCCAGGAAAAGAGTCGAACTTCTAAAGAAATTTGAGCCCCAGGCTTTGATACCATGTAATCTAATGAAAGAAGTTGTTATTCTATTCATGAATATACAAGGTGTTTATACAATTATAGAGAATCCTACAAAAGGAAATCAATCAAAACAAATAAAAAAAAATATTCTACAATAACTTATTATTCTGTAATATTCTACAATCACTCTGTGATTTGTTACCATATTCTGTAACAAGGCTCTAGCACGTGTTTTGAATTGCAAGGTCGGGAAATGGAGAGAAATAGAGTCTGTTCCATCAAGTCCTATTATGTGATGCTTTTAGTGAAACAAGAGATTGTTTTCCCACATCGTTGATATGAATCCCTAGAGTACTGAGAGAGGTGTGCTTCTTCACATGGTTAGGCATGACGGAGGTGATTTTGACAATGGAGAACTTGAGGAAGAGAAAGATAAACTTGTGTTAGTTGGTACTTCATGTGCAAAGAATCAAGGGAAGACGTAGATCACCTACTCTTACATTGCCTGGAAGCATTTTTGTTATGGGGGTAGCTGATGTGATGGTTTGAGTTTGAGTGGGTAATGCCAAGAGGCGAGAACTATGAAAGAAGCAATGTTTAGTTGGGCTCATAGAAGACACAGGCATGTGGAGTTGCACCTTTAGCACTGATGTGGACTATATGGAGAGAGAAATAGAGCTTTTGATGGAATAGAGAAATATGTCATACACTTGAGAAATAACCTCTTTTCTCTTATTTCTTTTTGGTGCACCCATGAGGTTACTTTTTGTATAGATGATCGGGTGGCTTTCATAGAAAATCATGTATTTTGTATGTTTTTTTAACTTTTTGGTATGCTTTTTGTATTTGGGAAAGTTAATGCTCTGTTGTTAATAATATTTTAACTTCATTTTTGTGAAAAATAATGTCATAAAAAATATTCTAACTTCATCTAAAAAGGTCACACCCCTTTCCGCCAACCATGCCAAGAAACAAAGCTTTCTTGGTGCTCTAGGGATCCAAATGGAATTGTGGGGGGAAGGTACCTGCCTTTCTCACTAGCAAACTCTTATAAAAAGAACTAATAGTGGATAAGCCGTCACCAGACTCCCGCCACCTCCATACATCCGAAAAGTTGTTTGGTGTGTCTAGCCCATACAAAAGCTTTATCAAGTTATGAAACTCTTCCATCTCCCAATCATGAATGTTCCTTCTCAAATCAAGTAGGAGTGTACATATTGTATGTTCCTAACTTGCAATAGATATACTCGGATTTTGGAGTGATAGAGTGACTCTGTAAGAATATCTTTCAACTGATACCATGCTCGTATCATGCTCTGATACAACCACCACCACCATCACCAATAACAACAAAAACAAGCCCAATATAATCCCATAGGTGGGGTCTGAGGAGGGTAGAGTGTACGCAGACCTACTCCTACCTTTAGAAGGTAGAGAGGCTGTTTACGTTAGACCCTTCGGCTAAACAAACAATAAAAAAGAGGCAGCAGTAACACGCATAAACAACAAGATGAAATAAGATAAGGAGGTTTAATAATAACATGTAGTAATAGTAATCTAAAGATAGGGAAAACAAGAAGAATAATATTAATACTCTAAGAATGGGAAAGAAATACTCCCGCCTACCTACTACCCTTCTACCTTAATCTTCGACCTTGCCCCGCTCCTATCAAGGGTCATGCCCTCAGTGAGTGGCGGATCTAGGATTTTCACTAAGGGGTCTTGTTTATAATTACGGGTTGTCTTGATTGGTTAGCAGACACTACACTTTCTTGATTTGGATGGATAATCAAGTCCATATAATTCAGATCAAGCCAGGACCCACCAAATTCTTGATATCTACCTAATAACAGGTAATATATTATTTGCAGAATTCTTAGAGATCAAACTTTAGGGCTGGACCTAGTTTGATTGTCTTTTTCCCTCCAATTTGCTTTTGCAGTAATAATTAACACCCTGCAAACTTCTGGCTGTCCTTTCTGGGACTCCTTAATTGAAGCCTATGTATTGTTTTGGCTCTATGATCTTAATCTAGCTTTTGGCCTCTGACTGTTCTATAAGTGGGAGATTTGAGGAAGCTTTAGTTTTAGAGAATCCCTAACTTTTCATTAAAAGACAATTTTTCTTGCATTAAACAGAACGTACCTGGAGTTTAATGAATACAGAGGATTCCGATACCCAGCCAATCTAATCTGGGACAGAATGATAGTTGATTGGTTGATTTCTCTTTGAACTGCTACCTATAAGGCCAAGGACTTTCAAATCTTTGTTTAAATTTCATATACTAGCAGCATATCCATGCTTAATATTTCCAGTTATAGGAATCACTTCAGTCATTGCCTTTTATTAAACTCCTTAATAATGACATCTGTACTTGATGTTTAATATTTAAAATTATAACTTCAATACTTGCTCCATATCAGTTCTCATACACATCCCTCTTAAAAAAAGTGTAAACACTGTTTATGATCATTTTTATGTTTCAGCCACCTGCATTTCCAAAGGAAACACCTGAAACAATAAAGGAATTTATTAGGGAGAAGTATCTATTGCCTCAGCTGGACGCAGATGAGTTTTCTCCCGAAAAAGTCGGAAGGCAGTGGGAGTTTGATTGGTTTGAGAGAGCTAAAATCCTTCCAGATCCATCTTTGCCTCGATCTGTTGTTGTTCCTACATGGGAAGTGCCTTTTAGACGTCAGCGGGACAGATTGGATAATGGAGGATGGGAACCAAAGTCAGAGGAGGTATACAGAATTTGCATTATCATTTTATCAACTTTTTAAGTGTTCATGCTTTAACAAGTTCCTTTCATTACTGATTTTCATTTCCTTTCCGTACTAAAACCACTGGAGAATTTCAGGATCTGAAATTTCCTTTTTGGTTGCTAATCCTGACATTTTTTGGCTCACTTCTGACTTTCTCAGAGAGACGTATCAGAACTTACAATTGGAGCTGATGATTCTGGGGCACTACCGCGCATTGTTGGACCACCAAAGGATTTTGTTAGAGGAAGCATTAATAGTCGTCCGTTTCGACCTGGTGGCTTGGATGATTCCCCTTCGCTGGGCAGAGTTGTTCCTGATGGTGCTACAAATGGTGAATGGGTAAGGGAGGTGCTTAATGGCGGTCCTGCCCAAACCGCTCCTCCAAGCTTTAAGCAAGGACCTGATCTTGGTGATCTTAAGGTAAGGTTTTTGAGTTTTTTAACCATTGAAGAGCTTTTGATTAAGTTATTATTCTGTATATAAGACGTTATGAAACATCTTATTTGTATATTTCTAAGGATACACATTCATGCTCTTGGAATATATATGAGGATCAGAGTGCTGTCATGAACACAGTGGAGGTGAAACTGGTTAGTACCACAATAAATTCAAGTTTTCTTATATTCTTATATAAAATATAGACATTTACTTTTATATTTCCATCCTATCAAGTAAATACTGTGGTGGATTATATGCACCCTAGGTCTGCTTGCCAGAATTGCTTTGGAATGTGTCAAGTAATTTTGTTCTCATCTTCTGTTTTTTTTGACAAACATCTCTGTCTGGCAATCTGCAGAGTGACTTATCCGTGCAGTTTGATGACTTGTTCAAGAAAGCTTGGCAAGAGGATGTCACGGAGTTTGTTGGAGATGGTCTGTATCATCTAGAGACTTCTTTTAATTGCTTTATGTTTCTTGTGTTTGAAGAGTGATTTCATAGTCAAAGATCTCTAGATTAGCCAAAAGGCCAATTTAGCCAGGACAGAGTTAGGTTTCTTTATCTGATGTACATAGCAAACATGTAATATTTTAGGATAGCATGCCTATATGTCATGCATTCCTCCTCGAAGCTCATGTTTTCCTTTTTTTCCCACTTCTGTTGGGAAAGCAGTTTCCATAGCAGAAGAGTGAAATGTTTGTTGAACACCATCATGTGCTTAGGTAGTTTTGATCACGAGTCTTAAGTTAAGGTCATGGATGCTGGTTTAGGTTGGATAAAGGCATTGGATAAATGGATTTTATGTTGATGGCAATTAAGGAAATGGAGACGATATTGCACATGTGCTTTATGCTGATGATACCTTATTGCAATGTGAAGTAGACAGGGTGCAAGCTCTATATTTGAGGGTCATTTTTTTGGTGTTCGAAGTTGTGCAAGGGATGAAAGTTAACTTATCCAAAAGTACTGTTTTCTCTGTTAATGCTGTGGATTCTATTGCTCAGTTTGCTGAGATCCTGCAATGTAAAGTAGAAGCTTTTCCCACTACACATTTGGGACTCCCGTTAGGGGTGGCAATTGGACGGGGGGTCAAATTTAGACGGGACATAATTGGTTAAGACAACTATTGGGTCAAGACCCAACCCAACCCAAATTTGCTTGGGTCAAAACAGGTTGGGTCAAAATGGGTTAGGTAATGGGTTACATTACGGGTCTAGACCCAACCCAACCCAACCCAATTTTTACCAAGCTTAATTGTTTTATTTGTTCATTTAAACTATTTTAGCCAATTTGGGTTACATATTAACCCATTTTTTAATGGGTTGAGCTAATGAATGGATGGGTCAATAACGCACCCAAACTTAAACGGGTTGGGCTTGGTTTTGCCACCCCTAACTCCCTTGGGTGCTAGAAAGAATGATGTGGGGTTTCAGGATGGATAGTTCTGGTAATTAGCATTGTGGTCTCTCTACTTATGTTATGTCACTTTTCCCCTCATCTCCTAAGGTGAAAAAACGATTGGATTCACTTAGAAGGAACTTCATAGGGCAAGGAAATAAAGAGAACAGATGTTCACCTTGTGGGATGGAAATCTTTGATCTGTAGTTAAAAAACTGGTGGAAATGTCGAAAGGACAAAGTTTTATCTGGTTAAATGGGAGTCTGTGACTAGGAGTAAAATGAGCGAGGACTTGGAGTCGGGAACTCAAAGTAGATAACAGAAGTCTTCTATAAATGGTTGTGGAGGTTGAATGATGGGAAGGATGCTTTGTGGAAGAGGGTCATTGTTACTAAATATGGCAAAAATAGATATTGGGATCCCAGAATAGTTGGTTTTCTCTTTGGGGTTGCAGCTCGGAAGCAGATCATGACTCTATGGGGGTGATTTTGAAACAGCATTAAGTTGAAATTTGGTGATGAGAGGAAAAACTAGAATTGGACAGATTCACAGGACAATGATGAACTTCTTAAGGGTCAGTTCCCAGCACTTTCAGCCTAGTTATGGACGAGGAATGCTTAATTGCTGTCTGCTTTTCTAATTCGGGGGGGGGGGGGGGGGGCCTGAGGGGGGGTGGGGGGAGACCTTAGATCAAGGAGAGTACAGAAGAAACTGTTGAAGTAAATACCCGCCTGTATTGCATGGACAGTTTTCTCGGAAGGAGTCAGAGATGTTTTGAAGGCAGAAAGGATTCCACTTCTTATGTTAAGCCATATATGTATTCAGAATTTAGTCTTTTGTGTTGAAAGAGAATTATGTAACTAGGATGCTAAAAACAATGGACTTGTTTGATTCTCTTGTGATGTAGGACTGGATATGTTCTTTTGCTTGTACTGAATATTAGTACCATCTTGGTACCTTTATTGATAATACTTCTTACCTTTTAGAAAAAAAAAGTGCTCTCTCTTTGACATGTTAAGCTTTTAGATGAGATGTCCATATAATTCAACTATGAGTAAGTAGTAACCATGGAAGTTAAAGGAGATGTTGAATTGTGAAGTAACATATGCATAGGTGAGACTTTTTCTAAACTTTATTTTACAAGAAGAAGTGATGCGTTGAAGATAAATCAAGTCATATCAAGCAGACAAAAGTTGAAGTGTTTGGTACTTTTGTATTTTTGGTGTAAAGGCACATGTGTAGAAAGATCATGATTCAAGTTTTGTTGTTTTCGACTCCTTGTAGATGATAGAGGAGCTGTAAGTTTGGTCTCTTTACAGTCCTGTGATTAGGGATGATTATACTGTCTTTGTATTGTATTACTATTTATATAAGATATGTTAACTGTTTCAAAAAAGAAGTGATGCTTCTAGTTAAACATTGGAGAGACCGGAAGATTTTTTTTTTTTTGTTTTTTTTTTTGAGAAGGTAACAGAGTCTTGTATTATATTTTCCAAAAAATCAAACCTGCCACAACTTGTTACAGGTTTACTAATTACAATAAAAGGAGAGTATCAGGAAGATCTTCAAATCCTAAATAACAAAAATTACAAGGTGCCTAAAGCATTCATTACTGATTCTAGATCTTCCATATACTCCTGTTTACACCAAAAATGAAATAAAACCAAGCAATTCATCTTCATCTTCTGGATGCTGTTACTTTTGTTCTGGAAGCATCTGAGGTTTCTCTCTTTCCACACAGACCACCAGATACAGGTGGGGATGATCTTCCATCTTTCTTTATGACCAGAAATGTAGGCAAAGCTACTCCATATCTTCAGGGCCTGGACAATATTTCTTGGCATCACTCAAGGTCCTTCGAATTGGTGAAAATACTCCACAAAATATTAGTGATCCTACAGTGAAGAAAGAGGTGATTGACTGTTTCAGCCTCTTCTCCACACAGGAAACACCTAGGGCTCAGTTGGATACCCCTTTTCATGAGGTTCTCCTGAGTCAAAACAGCCTGCTTTGCTAGTAGCCAAGTGAAGCAGGACACTTTAGGAGGTATTTTAACTTTCCAGATAAGTTTCCATGGCCAGCCAGTAACCTGATGGATGAAAGAGTTGAGCTTTTTGTAAGCTTCCTTCACACTAAAATTTCCGTTGCAGTTATGATTCCAAAACAATCCATCTTGGGAGGTAGAGGTTCCTTTGAATTGTTCAAGGATTCCAAAGAAATCTACTAGTCTTTGGATCTCCCAATCATTTAGGGGCCTTCTAAAACTCAAATTCCATCCCTGATTTGACCAAACTTCTGCCACAGTGTCTTTTTGTTGTTGGTTCAGAATGTAGATATCTGGGAAGAGGGTTTTTAGAGAGCCTTGTTCTAACCAGCTGTCCTCCCAGAAGGAGACCTTCATGCCATTTCCTATTCTAATGCTGCAATTTTCTCTTAATTTTGGCCAAAAGTTTCTGATGGCCCTCCAGATGCTAGTTCCATAAGTACTAGTGACCATTTTGGTAGACCAGTGATCCTCCATTTCATACTTCTGCTTGATAAGTTCTTTCCATAGTGCTTGTTCACTGGATGCTAGTCTCCATAGCCATTTCATCATAAGGCTTTGGTTCTGAATCTTCAAATTCCTTACCCCAAGACCTCCTTTTTGTTTGCTCCCAATCAATTTATCCCACTTAACCAAGTGGAATTTCTTAGTGTCACTATTTCCTTCCCATAGGAAATTCCTCCTTATTGCATCAAGTCTTTTAATGACCCCATCTGGGATAGAAAAGATAGACATCATGTAGGTAGGCATGGAGTCGAGAACACTATTGATGAGAGTGAGTCTCCCGCCAAGGGAGAGATATTGACTCTTCCAGTTCACCAATCTTTTTTCACACTTCTCGACCACCTCATTCCAGATTCCTGAAGACTTGCTTTCTGCTCCTAGTAGTGACCGGAAGATTATAGCAAAGTTATCAAACAATGATATATATTTGAATCATGGGCCACTGTGAAATAAATTAATTATTAGAGAGAGAATTATCTTCTCTATGTGTTCTCTAAGAAGAAAACATTGAGGATGCTATCCAGTTGATAGACTTTTTAGGATATCTGTAATTAGTTTTTTTTTCCATTTCATTGTTGATATCTTTTTGGAGATGGCCAGCTTAACCCTTAATTCTGAGGAATACAATTACCAGTTTTCAAAAAAAAAAATTATTCCTCTCATGTAGGTCATACGTCTGAATTGCAATCTGAAGCGGAACAATTGCCATCTGTCAAGCCAGAGCTACTTCAGGTTGAAGCTGAAGTAAACAAGTCCGAAGTGGCTGATGAGGGTCTAGACACTGAGATATCCGTCTTGGATGAGATTTTGTCTGTTGAAGCAGAAGGATCAATATCAAGATTGGATGGGGATAAAGATGGTGCACGCCAAGAGAATGACGTAACAGACACATTTCTTGCTTAACAGAGTTTTCCATTTCCTTCATTTGATAAGTTAAAGAGGAGTTCTCCAATTTTTTGAATACTGCATCAAGTATAGTGCTCTTTTTTATGCTTTTGCTCTACACATCTGATGCAGGGATGGGCTGTTACTGGTGGCAGTGAAGTAATTGTAGAACGATTTCATGATCTCATCCCTGATATGGCTCTTACTTTCCCATTTGAACTCGACCCCTTTCAAAAAGAGGTATAAATCTATGGTTTATGTAGTGTTTTTCAATGCTGATATGGAACTTGGCATATCTCTGCCTTATTTAATCTCGTGTCCCTTAAAATTGATGGGTAAATACATGCTTTCAATCTATGTTGCTCGGACTCGTCAAAAATGTCGACTGGTGCGTGTCGGATCTTCCAAAAATAGTGTATTTTTGAAAGATCCGACGTGCGGCAACATTTTTGGAGAGTCCGAGCAACTTAGCTTTCAATCATGAGGCCCATGTTTTAGTCAGATGATGTTTCATTGGCATGAATGGCAAAGTGTTAATTTTGAACATAATAGGTTGAGTTCTGTTTGCTTTTTTATTAACTTGAAAAGATTTGTTGTGTTTCTTTTTCTTTTTCATTTCAGGCATATATATGCCTATCAAGCTGTTAAAAAAATTGTGGTCCTTCTCATTGTGTTAATTGCAGGCCATCTATCATCTTGAAAAAGGGAACTCTGTCTTTGTTGCTGCTCATACATCTGCTGGGAAGACTGTTGTGGCAGAATATGCATTTGCTTTGGCAGCTAAAGTATGAATTCACTTTATATCATGGATTTTATACTATTCGACTCTTTTTTTGGTTATAAAAAATATATCAAGAATTTTATACTGATATCTAAGGTATAATCTTCTTCTTTGCTTATAAATAAAATGTCTTCTGTTTTACATATCCTATTTATAAGTTCCTTTACAACTTTTTGGGTCAATCCTGTCCAAATTTTCTTGTCTTTATTTGTCAATAGGTTTGCACCAAATTTATGTTTTTTTATTGTGTGCTGCAGCACTGTACCAGGGCTGTATATACAGCTCCAATCAAAACAATCAGCAATCAGAAATACAGGGATTTTTGTGGGAAATTTGATGTTGGCCTTCTCACAGGTGATATAAGCATAAGACCTGAGGCCTCTTGTCTTATAATGACCACTGAGATATTAAGGTCAATGCTTTATAGAGGGGCTGATATGATTCGGGATATAGAATGGGTAATTATTAAATATTTTGCTCTGCTCGTTTCACTTCTACAACCTTTCCAGTACTTGAGATAATTTGGTTGGTTGCTGGTATTTTTTTGTTGCGAGTTTAGGTTATATTTGATGAAGTGCATTATGTCAATGATGTTGAAAGAGGTGTTGTTTGGGAAGAAGTTATCATTATGCTCCCAAGACATATCAACTTTGTCCTCCTTTCAGCTACGGTAGGTCTTGATATTTTAGTCACTTTATTTTGTGCTTTGGATCAGTACTCTTAATGAAGGTATGAGAGTTAAAGACACAACAAAAAGATGTGTGAGGATGCCTGAGACAAATGTCTTACACCTGCACTTTCTTATACACACTTTTCTATGTATAACTTCACATTTGATAAACGAAGGACACTGATACGTACAGTAGTACAACTTCTAACTATTTAGCTTAGCAAATCTAACATTCTACCTGAAGTCAGTGCCCACTGATCGAATGTCGATGTAACTAATTCGATGATGGACATGGTAAATATGTTTGGATGATCATTTGACATTATGAATCTAGTGACAATGTCTCTTGAGAGTATCTTTTCTGTGATAGCAGCTTGTATGTATTCAATCCTCTCTTGAAACTCTGGACTTGATGCACTATCAGGTGCAGCTTGATCATCACACACAAGTTCCATCTGAGTGGGTTATTGAACTTAAATTCCTTCCATATTTGCTTGATCCGTATGAGTTCTCAAGTTGCCGTTGCGATGGCTCAAGACTTTGACATCGGATCTTGTAATCACACTTTGATCTTTGCTCTTCAGGATACTAAATTGTCTCCAATTAGAACACAATATCCAAAAGTAAAATGTCTATTAGAAGAGAACCCTATTCGACCAGCATCAATATATGAGAAATAAAGGCACACAGATGATTTATGGGAATGCGTGAGACCATGGCCTTATGCCTGCATCTTTTTATATGCACACTTTACAAAGTATAATTATACATTTGATCAATGTGGGGTACTCATACGTATAGTGACTGCCCCTTTGAACCATTGATGCTTGGCCTATCTAAGAAAGGTAGCATTTGACATTTGCTTGATCTGAGCTTAATTACTATTGTCTAAAATAGCATAATAGGGTCAACAGACAGGCATATTATACTTTATGTGAATAACAATTGTAGGCTGTCATGGATTAGAGGCCTCCCTTAGTTACTATTTTGAAAAACTGTTTTGGTCATCAAAGTCATAATCGTTATACTCCAACAGGGTTGATTAGCTATCATTTTTATGGCATGAGACATCTTTTTTATGACATGACACTCCTTAATCAGTTTTGGGTATACATTAATTGATGATAATGAGTGCTTGGTTGTTGGTCAGAAGCGGTTGCTTGATACATTGCACTGCTGAGAGGAAACATAGGAAACCAGATTGAAACTTTTGAAAATCTGTAACTTGGTAGTATGCTGATTTATTCTTTCACCAAATCCCGTCGACAAGAAATCTTTTGGTGCCACAAAGAAGAAAAAGGACATCTTCAAATTTGTAATTGACCATCAAATTATCTCTGTGGACTGTGGCTTGTAAACAATGGGTATGTTGGACAAAAGTCTTAAGGTTCATCTAGTTGATCCCTCGCTCCTCTTAAAAAAGAACCAAAAATAGAAGTAGAACTAGTCAGCTAATGTCAGATGTTCTTCCAGAAACTCTTTTTTTGATGTGTCGTTGACAGTAAGATTTTTGCTGCATCCAAAGGTGTGGCTTAGTAGTCAATGAAGTGAGTGGAAAACCATGAGGTCTTAGGTTTAAATCTTAGCGGTGACAAAACAATCTAAGCGATTTCTTCCCATTTGCCCAAGCCTTGGTGGGTCCAGTACCTATTCTAGTTGGGGTAGTAGGTACACGGTGGAATAGTCGAGGTACACACAACCTAGCCTGGACAGCACCGTCATAATTTTTTTTTTTTGCTGTTTTTGATATGTTGTCTACATATATATATATGTGTGTGTGTGTGTGTGTATATATATATATATTACATCTGGTCCTCTTTTCATCTTGAGGTGGCTTTCAATAACATTTCCCCTGATCAATTTAAGCACAAAGGGGACTATGCTCTCTAGACTTCAGTGTCAAATTTTGGACCATTTCGACCATAAAGACAACTATGTCGAAGATCTCTTAATTTCTATTGGAGTGGGAACACAATCCTTCCTAAAAAAGGACTTTGGGAACCTATTGCATGATTGTAGTAGGTTGGCAATTGTGCCTACTTTTGTTTATAGAAAAAGTCTTGAATTACCTCATTTGGTTGATTGTTTTACAATAGTCTAATGAAAACTAGAAAAAAAGGAAATGAGAAAAGTGAACAGAAGAAATCCTATTAGGGCTTATGGCATACAACTTGAAATAAATGGAAACCCAATTTCTTGGATCGGCAGTTACAATAGTCTAATGAAAACTAGAAAAAAGGGAAATGAGAAAAGTGAACAGAAGAAATCCTATTAGGGCTTATGGCATACAACTTGAAATAAATGGAAACCCAATTTCTTGGATCGGCAGTAGGTCCCGAGTCGCCATTCATCATTTACCATTGTCTGTAGAATTATCGCCGATAGATAACCAAGATGGCAAGTAAAGATGTGTGTGGGCAGGGTTTCTGTAACTTGCCAGTGTGCAAATTGCTGGCAGTAAAAAGAGATTTCACCATTGAAAGTCCCCAATGTTTTATGACATTGCATGGGTATTTGAAGGTAATTAAAATTGGAAAGATGCTAACCTACTGCAGTTGCCATGTAATAGGTTAGCAAAACCTGTCAAAAGGAGCTCTCAATGTGGGAAGACATAATATAAGTAGGTGCTTCAGTGGGAAGAAATGTTAGCCCCACTATTGGTCTCTATCTATGAACTAGAAAAGAAAATGCTTGAGCTTGTGCTAGGAGGGAAACTAAGAGATGTTTCATTTTTTTATTGCAGGTACCCAACACAATTGAATTTGCAGACTGGATTGGTCGTACAAAACAAAAGCAAATTCATGTTACTGGGTTAGTCGTGCTTTCTTTAAATTATAATTAAAAAAAAATGAAGTTACATGACTTTGTTTCTTGAAGTTCTCTGGGACCTACTATGACTCAGGAAACAAGATAGGAGCTTTTATCATTATAATATATCTATAGAGTGCTTGCTTGATCTGGTTTCCTTTTCTTTTATGGACTTTTCTATCAGGACGACCAAAAGACCTGTCCCTTTGGAACATTGTCTCTTCTATTCTGGGGAGCTTTACAAAGTGTGTGAGAATGAAGAGTTTCTGCCTCATGGATTTAAAGCAGCCAAAGATGTACATAAGAAGAAGACCACAAGTTCTGTCTCTGGCGGCGCCAGCTTGCGTCCTGGGTCTTCAACAGCTGCTGATAAGGGTCGAGGACAGAGGCGTGATAGCTCTTCTCAGGCGAAGCAGCACAAGCATTCTGGTCCCCAAAGATTCGGGAATTTTGGTGGTGGTTGGGGAGCACAAAGCACTGGGCCTGGACAGAATGTTATGGGGTTTAGGAGATCAGAGGCGTCTTTGTGGTTGACGCTGATTAATAAACTCTTGAAGAAATCACTGTTACCTGTATGTAAAAAAATTCTTTTAACATGCATGGTTCCTTGTATATATTCCTTCCACCGCGTGCTTACAGTGTAGTTAGCATTGCTGTTAGTATTTAATCTCTTGATAACTTGTCCGCTGTGTTTTTCTTCTCCTCTTTTAAATTTTTTAACAGTACCGTTTTTCATTTACAGGTTGATAGGAGACTTATCATAAATTAAAGCCTGATATTTATCATGAAATTGTAATTTCAGGTGGTTATATTTTGTTTTTCGAAGAATCGATGTGACAAATCAGCTGATAACATCCCTGGTACCGATCTCACAAGTAGTTCTGAGAAAAGTGAAATTAGGATTTTCTGTGATAAAGCATTTTCGCGGCTTAAGGGATCTGACAGAAACTTACCGCAGGTGTCCTACCTAATTTGCTGCATTTGTTAATCTTGCGGACCATCTGCTTCTTGGTGTCCTGCTAATTGCAGAACAGTGTCTTATTGATGGTCATCTAAACTACAGATTGTCAGAATTCAAAGCCTTCTGCACAGGGGCATTGCTGTGCATCATGCAGGGCTCCTCCCAATTGTCAAGGAAGTTGTAGAAATGCTTTTTTGTCGAGGTTTGGTTAAGGTAATATAACATACCAGCTTTTTTAAGGGAAAGGGCACATTGTTCCACAGAAATGCCCATATTGTTAGGACGTTACAACAACAACAACATACCTAGTGAAATCCCACTAAGTGGGGTTTGGGGAGGGTAGAGTGTAGGCAGACCTTACCACTACCTTGTGGAGGTAGCACATCGTTAGGATGTTACTATATTTAATTACTTATTTAATTTCAGATATTATTCTGCATTAAGCATGCAAGAGGCATATAATTTTATGCTAGAGCACTTGTTAGTGTACACAAAGACATTCTCATATACTTCATTAGATACTCAGACATACAGAATAAAGTTAGAGACTCAATGAAAATTAGTGGAAGTTAATTTAAGATATTTGAAAATTATGTTACTACTTACTATTACATTGCCAAGTAGCTACACGCCTGTGGTGGGAGGTCCGTAACTGGTTTGGAGTACATTGGGTTATGTTGAGAATAGTAAAGGAGGCAATCTATAGCTGGGCTTTCAGAAGATGGAGGAGAAGACCTAAATGTAGTTCCACTAGCAAGCAAGTGGGTAATTTGGAGAAAGAGGAATAGGAGGGTTGAGAACAATTTTGTACATGTGAGGAGTAACCTCTGGTCACTAGTTTCTTTTTGTTTTATCCATGAGGCCCCTTGTTTGTGTCTTTGTGATAATTATTGGGTGACCTTTGTAGAGACATATTTTGGTTAATGTTTCTCTTCTTTTAGGTATACTAATACTACTTAAAATGCAGTGATTTCCCTTCTATAAATAAAATTATTTAACCTTTAAGAAAGAAAAAAATAAAACAATTAGCATTTGGTCATGTTTGTATAAACTAGCACTGATAGTATATCCTAGTAGGAAATTATACTAAAATAACTTCTTAAGATTTGGGAAGAGTCCTAGCTTTGGATCCAATTAAGAAATTTTGGACCCCATGATTCTTGTTTTTTGAAGTATGACTCGTGATCTAATGTTATGTTCTTTTCAAGTAAAAAATTAACTAAATAAATAAAGGGAAAACAGTTATGATGAAATGAATTATCAGTTAAGTGGTGAAATCCTTGAACTAAGTTGCACGTTGGGCTAGTCATTTTCATGTTATCTACTTTTACTACTGCTGCTGAATTTTCTTTACCTCCTTTAGCCATTTTGTGACCCATTTGTTATCAAAATTCCTGTCCTTTGGTGAGTTTTACTTTTGAAGGTCTTAGATGCTCATTTAATTCTTGGTTCTTTCTTAGGTTCTGTTCTCGACAGAGACATTTGCAATGGGAGTTAATGCTCCAGCCAGGACGGTAAGTCATCATTTGCAGTGATCTTGTTACTTTGATTGCAGTTATTTTCATAGAACATACTCACTCCATCCCATTTTACGTGGCCATGTTTTATTGGGTACGGAGTTTACAAAAGAAAGGAAGACTTGTGAAACTTGTGGTTTGGAACAAATCAAGGACATTTATATGACTATAAATCATTTTATTAAGGTAAAATGGAAAGTGTAAAGTTAAAATTTTTCTAAACAGAAAAAGATATTATTCTTTTTGGGTAGACTAAAAAGGCAAGTCTGCCACATAAATTGGGATATTAGGAATAAAAAGTTTACTCTTTTTATGATAAAAGAGTCTTTGTCATATGATTCACACCATGTCTCGACTCTTGTGTAACTGAGGATAGTGATCATGTTTCCATTTAATTGTTGTAGAATGGTTTTGCTATTTATTCATTGTTAAGAGTTGAAGGCTGAGAATTTTAAGAACTAGCGCTGGATCTTTATTTGTCAGCCTCAGAACATATTTAGAAACAATGATTAATTCAGGAAATATCCTCTTTCAGGGAAAAACCTAAAGCACATACAAGAGAGATTTAACTGAGCTATAGTAGTATATTAGCTCTATTCAGGGTCTGGACAGAATGCAGAAACAGTTAAGAATGAGCTGGGAGTTAAAGAACTTATAAAGTGGAGATAATGGAGGAAAGCAGAGAATGTAGAGGAAATCACATAAATTTCTGGAATGCGTTTCAATCAAGTTTGCCAGTAGCACAAAATATGCACATGTTTATGAAGAAAAGACCACATAGGAAATCAGATGTTATTTTTTTTTGAAACTGGTAACATTTGTATTTCATTTAGTACTTAGGTAGTACTGAAAAACCATATTTACAAAAGCAGAAAGAAAGTATAATCTATCCAAAAACTGAACCAAATCTAAATGGATCCTAAAACATCTATGATTGACTCAATTTCATTGGAGTAGACATTTGTACACCAAAAGCAGAACAACAAAATACACTTAAGCTTTACTTCCTGCAAGTTGTTGTTCCTATTCTCAAAACATCTCTCGTTTCTCTCCCTCCATATAATCCACCAAATACTAGCAGGGATCATCCTCCATCTTTCTCTGTTTGTAGCCCCAACTCCAGCCATCTCCCAACTGAATAGAGTCTCATCAATCTTGCTAGGCATACACCAAGATATGCCTCTGAGATTAAGGAAAATCTGCCACAACTGCACAGTAAAGTTGCAATGTAAGAAGAGATGTCTCACTGTCTCATTAGCCTTACCACATAAGGAATATCTGTTACATAGAGAGATTCCTCTCTTGGCCACATTATCCAATGTCAAAACTGCTTTATTGGCTAGTAGCCATGTAAAGCATGCCACTTTGTGTGGCACTTTGGTCCTCCAGATTTGCTTCCAAGGCCATTTCAAGTCTTGAATGCCACCAGGACTTATCTGTTTGTATCCTTCTTTCACCTTGTAACTACCTTTGTTGTGCCCTTGCCACCATAAATAATCCTCGCCTGTTTGTATACCTTGAAAATTCTCCAGAACCTTAAACAATCCAAGTATTCTGGGAATTTCCCAGTCATTCAGATTTCTTCTGAGGATCAGATCCCAGCCTTGTTGTGTCCACATTTCAGCGACAGTCTTCTGTTGGTGTTGAACCAATGTAAAGATGTCAGGAAAACGATCTTTGAGGCTCATACCACCCAACCATTTATCAAACCAAAAACTAGTTTTTCTTCCATTTTGTACCTTGACAGTAGACTGATTACTGAGAAAAGGCCAAAATATTCTGATGGATTTCCAAAGGCTAATCCCATGGGGGGTATTTACCTCTTTGGTTACCCATTTATTTAGCTCCTCATACTTGTTGTTGATCACCCTATACCATAGTGCTTGGTCCTCCTGATGGTACCTCCATAACCATTTCACCTTCAGAGCTTTGCTATGGTTTTTGAGATTCTTGATACCTAATCCACCTTGCATCTTACTTCTGATGATGTTCTTCCACTTGACTAAGTGAAAGCCTTTTCTTTCCTTATTTCCTTGCCACAAGAAGTTTCTTCTAATTTTGTCCAAACTCTGAACTACTGATTGGGGAATATGGAAGATAGATAGCATATATGTAGGGAGAGCATCCAGAACAGAGTTTATCAGAGTTAATCTACCTCCCAAGGAGAGGTACTGTGATCTCCATCTGGCTAGTTTCTTTTCACATTTCTCCAATATTGGGTTCCAAATGTCTATGGCTCCAGACTTTGCCCCCAAAGGCATGCCCAAGTATACTGATGGCAGAGTACCTGTCACTCCTCCCAAGGTTTGTGAGAGGTGTTCCATATCCGGAACCACATTAATTGGATACAAATGGCTTTTGTTCCAGTTTATATGTAGTCCAGATATGGCTTCAAAGTAGACTAGTATGAGTCTTAATATCAGCAACTGCTCCTCCTCTGCCCCACAAAAAATTAGTGTATCATTAGCATATTGTAGGTGTGTGATCTCCATACTATTCCCAACAACCTTACTGACTTCAAATCCCTGTATTCTTCCTGTTGTCTCGGCTATCTTCAACATATTGTTAAGCCCCTCCATAGCTATGATGAACAGGAAGGGTGATAAGGGATCCCCTTGCCTGATTCCTCGATGTGCACTGAAAAAGCCTTCAGGAGACCCATTGACGAGTACTGAAAACTTAACAGTTGAAATACAAAACTTGATCTAACTGATCCATCTGCTACCAAATCCCATTTGTCTCAGCATACTTAGAATGAAATCCCAATTCACATGGTCATATGCTTTCTCAATATCAAGTTTGCATAGTATACCAGGTTTCTTCTGGGACACTCTAGAATCAATTGCTTCATTAGCTATAAGCACTGCATCCATTATCTGTCTGCCTCTGATAAAAGCCATCTGTTGTTTGTCTACCAACTTATCCATAACTCTCTTCAACCTTTTGGTCAAAACCTTGGACATAAGCTTATAGAAGCTTCCAATTAAGCTGATGGGTTTGAAGTCCTTGAGTTCCTTTGCTCCTATCTTTTTAGGAATCAGTGCTATGTAGGTTGCATTATAGCTCTTTTCAAACATCCCAGTTGAATGAAAATTGTGGAGAGCCCCTATAATGTCATGTTTAATGATCTCCCAACATTTTAGAAAGAATCCCATTGTGTATCCATCAGGACCAGGGGCTTTGTCTATAGCACACATTTTTAAACACTCAAGTACTTCTTGTTCCTCAAAATCTGCCTGCAATTCTTCATTTTCACCCACTGTAATGGTAGGATGGTTGCTGATATTTACAGAGGGTCTCCAACCTTCAGGTTCTATATACATCTTTTTGTAGAAAGAAATAATTTCTTCCTTAATTCTGTTATAGTCTCTCCCTGTACTTCCAGTTGATCAACATGGTTGTATCTCTTGTGGGCATTAGCTGTTTGGTGGAAAAACTTTGTATTCCTATCCCCTTCCTTGAGCCACAAAGCACTTGATCTCTGTCTCCAGGCCACTTCCTCATTCTTCCAACACCCTCATACTCCATGAAAAGTGTGGCTTTTTTTCTATCTCCTCCTCAGTTAAAATTCTGTTGCTCTGATGTGATTCTAACTCAACCATCTGATTGAGAAGGCTGTTCTTTTGCAATTTCAGATTACCTTCTTCATATCTGCTCCATTCTTTCAATTTCCCTTTGAGGGCTTTGAGTTTGCATGCTAAGATGTAATCTGGCCTCCCATAGAACTCAAAATCATTCCACCAGACCTTGATTCTTTCAACAAATCCTTCTTGGTTCAGCCACCAATTTTCGAACTTAAAATAGGATTTAGATTGTTCCCAATGTCCACACAACAAGGCTATAGGAACATGATCAGAAGTCACTCTTTGCATAGTGGTTTGCTTTATGTTGGTGAAAAGATTATTCCATTCTGTGGAGACCATAATCCTGTCTATCCTGGATGCTGTGATATGGTTATCACCCTTGTACCAGGTATACCTTCCACCACTTAATTGCAGATCAATGAGGTCCATGTCTTCAATGCATTCTGAAAACTCTCTCATTGCTGGGTTTAACCTGTTGCACTCCCTTTTTTTAGAAGGAAATCTACAGACATTAAAGTCACCACAAACAGCCCATGGACCATCCATCAAGCCTCTTACATCAACCAGTTCTTCCCATACAAACCTCCTCTCCACTCTACTATTCGGAGCATACACTCCGGTTATATGACATTCAAAATTGCTTGTCTGAGCTTTGAATTTACAAGAGAGAGTATAGGCTCCAACTTTAATTTCCCCTTCCCACATTCTGGAATCCCATAACATCAGGATTCCTCCTCTGGTTCCACTGGCCTCTAAACAAGCATATTTAATCCATCTCCCTGCCCAAATTTGTTTAACTAAGTCCTGTACATCGCCTTCTAATTTAGTTTCCTGGAGGCAGACAATGTCTGCTTTCCAATCCTGCAACAGGTTTTGTACCACCCTTCTCTTTCCCTGTTCATTCAGCCCCTTAACATTCCATGAGATTAATTTTATCTTCATGGAGTATTATGTGATTTCCCCTTCCTTCTATCACCATTGCTTTTGAATTTGACATCAAAATTTATCAAATTTTTTAACTCTTGTGCTCCCTTATGCTTTGCTCCTTTTACTTCTATTGTTTGCTCCATTCTTCTGGCATGTCTGCTTGCATCAACCTGCTTAAGCAACTCAAGTGCTTCCTCTTCAAGCCCCTGAAAATCTACTCCAAACATCTTGTGAAGTTTAAGAAGATTTTGTTGTACCCATGTTGTTGCCCTCCGTTCTGAATCAGTTAGCACTTGGGTACGTAGTGGTTCAATCTCCTGTACATCCCAAATTTCTCCAGAATTAAACATCTCCAGATGTTTTTGTTGTGACTCGTTTTCTTTTGCAAAGGTTTCCCCCGATATGATGCATGCATTTTCTTCGTTAATGGGTAAACAGGAGATTTCCGCTTCTTTTCCTTCTTCAAATCCTTCTTCTCTTGGCTGGGTCCCCTCGAGATTCTGTAGATTTGGTGTTTTCCTTCCAGTTACATCGCGACTGGAGTAATTTTCCAGAGATTCATCAATCACCACCTCTTGAAGGTCAGAATTGGGCTGTGGGCTGAAGTTATTAAAAATAATTGTCGCCTGATCCGGCCCAGTTGACCTACTGTCCAAGTCTTTATTTTTAAAGATCTGCACATGCCGAGCACGTGCTACTTTAGTTTTTTTTAAAATTTGGACAGCTGCCTCCACGTGATTTCCTTCTGTTACATCAACATCGACAACCTGTACTTCTGCTTTCTCGGATATAGATGGTTGGGGATCTATTATCCGCTGTATCTTCAGTTGATCTTCTCCGGTGGTTGTTCTATTGCTTTCCGGCGGGAATTCAAATAGGGTTTTCCTCTCTGCCCAGATCGGAATTATGAATTTAGTTCCATCTCTAGAAATAGAGACTTCACTTGGAATGCTCCGACCATCACCTCGTATTTCGATCCTTGCCCACTTGAGATGGTTTCTCAGTTCTGTCTCCTCCTCCGTCATCAACCATCCACCACAGAGCTTGCCGATCTCCTTGAAGGTCTCATCCGTCCATAAATGCATAGGCAGACCCATAACCCTAATCCAAGTGGATTTGGGTTTGTATGTAGTTGGTTCACAGCCTACATATGGGTTCCACCACTCTAATTTTATTTTGTTTCTCTTCCATATCCATTCTCCTTGAAGGATTTGTTCCGCCATATACCTGTTGGGGAACTCGAAGAGATAGTGTCCACCCCGCATCTCGTATATATTGACTCCAAAAGCCTTCTTCCACACTATTGTAGACCATTGTCTAACATCAGATAAGGTAGGCCTTTCTGCATTATTTTTGTCAAAGAATCCAATAATGCACCTTCCCAACAGACCTTGTTCTCTGCTTTTGACAATTACCTCGGATTCAGTCTTTTTGTCCTTAGATGTGGGTGCCTCATATTTGCTGCTCTGCCATTTACTGCCCTCAACCACCTTTGCAAAGGAGACATTTATGTCACATTTTTGGGACTTGATCTTCAACTCCTTCTGTGGTATGCATTTAATAAAGCTTTGTATCTTAAATGCCACACTCCTCCACCCAGCATTAATGTCTAATTCAGGTACTATGATAACTGATCTGTCTTCTCCCTTCAGTGACAGAATGCTCATGCATCTCCCATGAGCATTATATTTCCTAGTACCAAAAAACTCAGCTGCCTGGTCCTTATATCGCCATCTTCTCACTAAATTTTTCTGGTCAGATGAAGCTTCCCTGAGGATGAGCAATACCATTCCATCACCTTCTCACTAAGTGTAATCCTACTCATCTTGTTTCTGCTTCTTTCTACCCAGTCATACCAAAAGACATGATTGGAAGTCCATCTGGTAATGTCGTAAGATTTGAATCCTTGATTGAAGTATATTCTATTATCCCCCATGGTATAGCAGGGGTATAAGAGGACAGAAAAGGGATTTTGAGGTACCACAGAAGGTGGTAACTCAGTTGATGTGAAGGAAAGGTGGTAGTTCCCGGCAAGACTACCGGAAAGATAGTGTTTCTCCCTCCTAGGAAGTAGGAGAGAGAGGGTTTTTGGGGACTGTCCCAAAAAGAATCTCATTTTTCTATAATTAGAAACAGTTTAACTTTAAAATTCTCCTTCTATCCTTAATGAAATGATTTATCTAAGGTTTGTTTTAGACCACAAATTTCAAAAGTTTTTTATTTTTTTCTTAAACTTTGTGTCTGATCAAATGGTGTCACATAAAATTGGGATAGAGGGAGTATCTCATAACCGAAAAAATCTAGAGGTACCAGCTGTTTCTTTTTCAAGTTTCGATAATTAGGGAAAAAGAAACTGAACATGTTGATTCCAATTCTGAGAAGAAGACTCCTAAACTCTCTCTCAAAAATTTTCTTATCCGACATACTATTTTGTGTAATTAAGATTTTACATTCACATTCTATGGCTTCTGAATCAGATTCGTACAGTGTTTCCATTTCTGAGAAGAAAACTCCTTGCTGTTTTCAGCCAAAATCTTTCAATATTTTTCTTCCAAATCTCTCTACTTCCTTTTTCGACTGAGAAATGTTGATTAGTTTTTTCATTTCGTGTTATATTTGCCAATTTCCCTTTAATTTTCAGTTTTTCAGTGATTTCATTGTCGGGTTGAATAGTATTTCATTTTTTGTGGTTCTACATCAGTACATAAAAAATAAAGACTTGAAAGCATCATTAAAGCTTGGTTCGAATTTTTGTGATTTCTTGTTTGTTATTTTGTCTCGATTGAGTTTTGTTGGAAAGGAAGTTGAATATCAATTTTGGAGGTGTCTCGAGATGATTTGAGATTGATGATGACTCCATTTGTGTATTCCCACTGATCCCTTGTCCCGTCTCGGTAATTCTTCCCTTTAGTAATATTGTAATGGGTGGAAGTTTTTATTATTGTGTTCAACTATCCAGAATCATTTTACGTGGAAGCTCGCCTTAATGTTTTCATGTCATTAATCTTTTCCTTGTGTTTTTCTTTTCTGAAAGTAATGTGGTTTGTAAGAAACTTCACGACAATATAGAGTAATTTTCTTCTTTTAATTTGTGGGTTTGAACAGTTCCAAAAGACTTGTTTCATTTTCTTGTCTCTCTCCCTGTATTTTTGTTGTTTCAAAGCTTTGATACTTAAAATTTCTATGTGATTACAGGAAGGATTCAAGGTTTAAGAACAAGATTTTGGGGGAAAAAAAGGTTTACATTTGATGTGTTTGGAGGTTTAAGAATATATAATTTGTCTAAACTCTCTTCAATCATTTCTGTTAAATTGGTTTCTCTTGTAATATTAGTACCTCTTTAAATTGGATTCTCTTGTAATAGTCAAAACCTTTTTTATTTTCTACGCACTCAAATGACATCACAATTTAATTGTTAATGTTTGATCTTCTGCAATTCTTATCGAGTTGAGTGTATTCTGAGGAGTAATGTAAGAATGGGTGTTCATTGCATGTCAGTAATCGTATATTTTAAGGGGTCGTATGCTAGAGAGTATTAAAAGAAATAACGCATATATTAGATGTGTATTAGTGGTACTTTGTGAGTTGAATAGCAAACATTACTTGTGTTTATTATTTGACAATTGGATTCATGGATCCAACAAATTTGTTTTTAAAAATAAAGGAAAAAATAATATTAAAAATCTGAATTTTTCCTAATTAGAATGCATGATAAAATGTGAAAAGATCTCAACACGGCAAAGTCTTTGCTTTCATTATAATTTTAATTAGAGTTCTTGCATATTAGGATTATTCACAGTGAATAGATTATTGATTTTACTTTTGAAGAAGGAATCATGTCACTTAAAATTTCAAAAATATCCTAGTCTGTGTAAAACTTGTTTATAATTGAGATTTTAATTGAGAAAATGTTAAACCGGTTCCTTACGTGCCTAAGAAGCCGAGATAATGTGAAATTACATGTTAATTAATCATGATTACGTGTAAAAGGCTTATTTACAAAGATATATTACAAAACTATTAATTTGACATGAATATTAAATGTGGATACATTTTTTTTTGTTGTTGTAGAAAATGTTTGTATTTTAAAATTAAATTGGCATCCTAGATGTTAGGACTTCAATTAAGAGCTTATGATGAAAGCTGAGAGTTTGCAATTGCAGCAACTAAAAGTTCCAATTTAACCGATTTTGATAGAATGACATTGATATAAATATCTTTTCACATTTTAATTTCCTTTTATTGTGCATTATAATTAGGAAAAATGTAGATTTTAATATTACTATTTTCTACTTTACTTTAAAAACAAATTTGTGAGACCGATGTATCCACTTGTCAAATAATAAACTAAACTCATATAAGTTATATTGATTATGTAACTCACAAAATAAAATTTCTCATTACCTTGAGCCATTATCTGTGCCTTTTGTCATTCTTTTATTCTTGAAAAATATTAAAGGGAAAAAGATCAAATATGCCCCTAAACTATTCGAAAAGGTTTAGATATACCCTCCGTTTAAAGTTTGGCTCACTCATGCCCTCGCCGTCCAGTTTTTCGTCTAGATATGCCCTTATGGGTGTTAGTTGGCCAACTAGAATTGCCATGTCATTTTTACATTACCACGTGACATTTATATTAAAGGGAAAAAGGGTCAAATATGCCCCTAAACTATTCGAAAAGGTCTAGATATACCCCCGTTTAAAGTTTGGCTCACTCGTGCCTTCGCCGTTCAACTTTTTGCCCTTATGGGCGTTAGTTGATACGTTGGAAATATCCAGCTCATTTTCCCTTTATTTAAATGCCAAATGAAATTGTCACGTCACTTTAAATTACCACGTGGCATTTTTATGAAAATGGAAAGGGATCAATTATGCCCCTAAAATATTCGGAATCCCTAAAATATTCAGACCCATATCCGAATTAGGAAAATGAGCTGGATATTTCCAACGTATAAACTAACGCCCATAAGGGCAAAAAGTTGAACGGCGAAGGCACGAGTGAGCCAAACTTTAAACGGAGTATATCTAGACCTTTTCGAATAGTTTAGGGGCATATTTGACCCTTTTTCCTTTAATATAAATGTCACGTTGGTAATGTAAAAATGACGTGGCAATTCCAGCTGGCCAACTAACACCCATAAGGGCATATTTAGACGAAAAGTTGGACGGCGAGGGCATGAGTGAGCCAAACTTTAAACGGAGGGTATATCTAAACCTTTTCGAATAGTTTAGGGACATATTTGTCCCTTTTCCCAATATTAAATAAGATATTTTGACAAAATTAATTAATTTTAAAAGTAAAATACTAGAAAGGGTAAAATAGTCAAATTATAAATAAAAAAATCATAGTAAATAAGTTAAGAACGGTTACAAAAAGACAAAATAAAAAAGATAAATGTGCTATTATAAATCACAAAGGAAGTTAGTGTTACCAATTTAAACCTAGAGAATGTCTCTAAAATTATCCCAAATAAGGGACAAAGCCAACCAAAATATATCAGGGTAACAAAATAACTCTCCTACAAACACTTGGTGAATGCTTCCAAATAATCTAATTTGACATAGCTTCCTATTTGTGTAAGTACCATTTCAAATACAATTAAAGGGCCTCTTTTATTGATGATATAGGTTAGTATATCTCATGTCCTCTTGGAGACTCAGTAATTGAGTAATCATCATCCAATAATCTAGGATGTGTCACTATCTGCTCCATTATTGACTTAATCCCAGTTTATCACACAAACATTGATATGCTGCACTGCAGGCCTTGAACTTCTCTTCTGCAACAACCTGTCAATGAATCAAATCTTGTTATCTAATATAGCTGGATTACAGAGAAACAGACAAAGATAAGCTTGGATACTATAAACTAATCTGAATTTCATGAGAAAAGTGAGGCAATAATAAGCTCTGAGCAGAAGCTAACAGATATGGAATATTGACTTGGAATAGAATGTTTGATTCCTTTTCTTTTGTCTCATCTGTATAGTATGTGTGAATTGATATCTGATGCATGGACTTGATAGTGTATGCAAATGTCTGTATAATCCAAGGGAAAATATATTAACCAGCACTAGGAGCTCAGCTAATCAGTCAGATGAAAGAAGCTAATTCTAAGACCTAATGAATGAAGCATGATAACAGACCAAGAGACACAAGACAGATTCTTCCAAGCCAGTCCCTCAAAATGCTAAAGGAGCAAATCAATCATAGGTGTGAACTCATGGGAGCTAAGCATATGATTGAACATATTTCGTGTATGAAAAAGGGAAAACACGTGTTGTATGCGCTTTAAGAAAAAGCCGCGTGGAGTACAATGGATGCAGGTGGAAAAGGGAAAACGCCAAATCAAAAATGTAATAGTAATGAAATAGATATACCTTAGATGAGCCTTGGTGGCGATCAGGATGCCATTTCAGTGCACACACACGATATCTGCAAATGTAAAGCATGTGCAATCAGTGATATAGACATTACTTTTGCCAATCAGAAGGTAATTTTTTCTAGCTGGCAATTCATTAAACACCCACGCATTCTTAATATCTTCCAGATTCAAAGGGCCAAATGCATTCAATCCAAGAGTCAGACGCTCTGAACTCAAATCTGACTCTAAATTCTCAGAGTCTGTTGACTCATCATAGTCCGAGTACTGATGCCGCCAATTCCACTGACGGCTGTTAGAGTAGTTTGATGAGTTCCTCCATTGTGGTTCTTCATTAATAAATGACCAGTGGTAGTATCTGTTTCCACCAAATGTAGAACGGAAAAAGGTCTCTATCTCGATATCCTCCTCCTCCAAGAATTGGAACACTCCTGAAAATGAGTTGATGAAAATCAGCTATTGCTCAATACTCAAAAGGCACAGGCTGATAGCTAAATGGCCTGGTTTGTCCAACGACATACGCAAAGAGAGAATTAGGCTCTTTACATGACACTTTGGAGCTAAAAATGGTTGTATTTTACAAGATCAAACTCCAACAAAGGTGAAGTTCTCTAGAAATTATATACTGCATTATGTTGCAAAAGGTGCACTTACTGTGTTGATTTTGTCCCTTGTTCTTTGATCTTCCCCCTTTGTGTCCACTAGCCCTGAAATCTCGTCTAAACCATGAACTGTCTCGGCTTGAAGATGGGTCATATTCATCACAGTCATGCTGCCAGCTCTGAAATGCTGAAAAACAATGTTATAGTGGAAGTTTCTTTAAAGCTAAGAATTATATAGGATTGGACTACTCTGTAGGCTTCAAAGTCCAGAATTGAAATTAGGGAAAGGGGTTAAAAATATGGCCCTCTACTTCTGTCTATCAGCTAAATTTGTCCCTAGTTATACTATAGGGCCAAATATGCCCGTTGTTACCAAAATATACAAAAATGCCCCTATTTTGGATGGAATCCCCAAAATCAAACAAAAATACCCGACTTCCCCCAAAATAATCCACTCCTCTTTTTTAATCCGACTCGACCCACTAAACTAAATAACCCATATCAAATTATACCCCAATTATATTAATCTCTAAAAATTTTCTTCCGATAAAACTGAAAAGGGAGTGAAGATGAAAAATAACACACACGATCCCATAAGCTAGTGATGGACCTCGAAGAAGCTGAAGAATCACATCTCAAACACCATTGTTCTTTTTTTGGAAAACAACAGAGGGTAAGGTTATAGTGGATTTCGTTGTTTGTTTCTTTTTGAGAATTATAGTGGATTTCGTTGTTTATGAGTTCCACATACAGGAATGTAATGAAGACTGGCTACACTGCATAATTCAGGCTAAAAGCACATCAATATAGGAAGTTCGGGCAATGAAATTTCGGTATCCCACAATACCCAAGGTGGAAATAGCAATCTTTGTTCTTGTGCATTGCCAAGACCTCCACCACAAACCCCTAATGTAGCACAGAAGGATTTTTATCAAATGAGAGGGAGGATAGATTTCCAGGAGAAGAAAAACTTGAGCAGTAAGGAGTATCAAAAATGAACTCCCGTATTAAGGGATGCAACATTTATCTCTTCCAGCTTTTTGCTACATCCAGAACACGCTCTACATGGAAGCAAAAAGAGTGACTATAAACAATTAAGGTTTCAACCATAAACTGATCATCAAGGTAGAGTTTATCAATTTAACAGTTGAGCAAGTTGATGACACACAGATTTATTACTCTTTGATTATGTTATGGAGTCATAATCCATGTTGAAGAGGTATTTTAAACAGCATGAGTATCAACAATCTTCAATAACAGCATGAGTATCAACAATCTTCAATTAGACTGCAGCATTATATATACAATTTATTTTAGTTCTTTCAGAGGGGAATGAATGTGAGGAACACCGGGTATTTTTTCTTAATTCGATATGGGTTATTTAGTTTAGTGGGTTGGGTCGGGTTAAAAAGGGTAGTGGGTTATTTAAGGGAAATCGGGTATGTTTGTTTGATTTGGGGATTCCATCCAAAATAGGGGCAGTTTTGCATACTTTGTATTGGCAGGGACATATTTGGCCCTATAGTATAACTAGGGACAAACTTTTTGAAAAAAGGTTAACTTTATATTCACACCAAAAAATTCATCATCCAAAAAAATGATGAATTGGAAATTTACATGCCACATCAGATGGGTATTCTTAACAAGTTTCCTATAAAATCTACTAAATCTACTATCTCCCCTATCAGAAGAAAGTGTAACTAGGGACAAACTTTTTGAAAAAAGGTTAACTTTATATTCACACCAAAAAATTCATCATCCAAAAAATGATGAATTGGAAATTTACATGCCACATCAGATGGGTATTCTTAACAAGTTTCCTATAAAATCTACTAAATCTACTATCTCCCCTATCAGAAGAAAGTGTAACTAGGGACAAACTTAGCTAATAGACAAAAGTAGAGCGGCATTTTGACCCTTTTGCCTTTGAATTAAGTAATTGTGTCAACATAATTCTTTAGTAAAACATCCCTTATAAAGTCACAGTCTAGTGATTCAGGCTTCGAAAACTGAATGCAATGTAAGCAGCTACTTGATAAGGCCAAAAATTTCCAAGCTTTTAAACTCAAAACTCTCTTTCTAGGAAAGGGAATAATGTTGTTAGTAACACGAGAAGAAAGTGTAACTGGAAAAGAGGAACCTCCATTGCAAAAAGTACTAAAATTTATTCAATGTTAGCAATAACAATGAATGGAAATAAGTCAACAATAACATTTTTCAATTCCATATCAAGCAAATCGCAGAATTGGCCCTCAAAAGTCGTCTTGCACTTTACATGTTCAAATAAAAGACCTCGGCTTATTCATTAATGATATACCCATTACCCATGGAGCAGCACAACAGTCTTTCCCAACTACTTTTTTTTTTTTGATGAAGTAAATGTTCCATTGAAGGCATCAAGAAGATGCAAATTAGTTACAAAAGTAGAAGCAAAAACAGTTGGTTTGCTGGCTCAAGTACAATTATGCTAAAACTAAGGAGCCAACAAAATTTGAAAAACTATCCAGGGAATCTACATAGGACAAATTAACCCAACTGTACAGACACATAAGGCATTCCGCTTTGAGAGAATGTAAAGGAGTTGATAGACCTTCAAAACATCTTCTGTTCCTTTCCCTCCAAATACTCCAAAAAATTGCTGCAGGTATCATCTTCCAAGTCTGTTTGATGGTGCTGTCAACTTTCCAGCAACACCAACTCTCATAAGCTTCTTTGATACTATGTGGCATGACCCAACTGAGTCCAAAAAAAGAGTAAAACATGTTCCACAATTTTGCTGTAACAGTACAATGCAGAAAAAGGTGCCTATTGCTCTCTGCTGCTTTCTGACATAAGTAGCATCCATTCACAATGATGCGTTTCCTTTTATAGAGGTTGTCTTGAGTTAGGCATGCTTCATATAGTGCAGTCCAGCAAAAACAGACGATCTTGGGCGGTAGCTTGATTTTCCAAATTAATTTCCATGGCCAGTGGTCAGTGACTGCATTAAATGCTCTTGACTGCTTGTAGGCTGCACTCACTGTGTAATTCCCGTCTCCTGTAGTACCCCATTTGAACTGATCTGTTGCCTGAGTGTTGAGAGAGAAACTCTGTAGAGTCTGTAGTAGTTTGATCAGGTCATTAAACTCCCAATCCTGCATATTCCTTCTAAACATAATGCTCCAGGTTGTTCCATCTCTATTTTGAGAAATTGTTGAGTCTGGATCCCTGGCTAAGTTGAAAAGACTTGGATAATCATCCATCAGAACTGTGTTGCGAAGCCATTTGTCTTTCCAAAATCTGATATGAAGTCCATTCCCCACTGTGAAGTGCTTATGCTGAGAAAATTTCTCCCATAGCTTGCATATGTGTTTCCAGACTCCGACCCCATAAGGTGCTTTTGAAAGACTGGTGCACCAATGACTCTGTATCCCATGCTTTGCACTGACCACATCCTTCCATAAAACATGTTCCTCCTGTGTGTATCTCCATAACCATTTCATAAGTAGACACTTATTATGCAGCGCCAAATCCTTGATCCCTAACCCCCCCTGTAGTTTAGGAAGAAGGACTTTTGGCCATTCCACCAGATGATACTTGTGCTTCTCACTATTCCCTTCCCATAGAAAATCTCTCCTGATCTTGTCAAGTTGTTCCAACACTTTGCCAGGAATAGGAAAAAGTTGCATATAGTATGTGGGAATACTATCAAGTACACTGTTGATCAGTGTAAGTCTGCCCCCTGTCGATAGGTACTGCATCTTCCAGGAGGCAAGTTTTTTCTCAAACTTCTCAATAACTCGTCCCCATATAGCTGTTGACTTATACTTTGCACCCAATGGCAACCCCAAATAGGTTGCCGGGAATTCACCCACACTACATCCCAAGATACCTGCTAATTCTTCCAAGTTTAGCACCTCATTAACAGGATAGATCACACTTTTTAGCATATTGATGTGCAAACCTGAGAGGGCTTCAAAAATCAAAAGGGTTAGATTCAAATAGAGAACTTGACTCCTGTTTGCCTCACAAAATATCAGAGTGTCATCTGCATAAAGCAGATGAGAGATGTTTGTAGTGATCATGCTCCCCACATCAAAACCATTCAGCCATTGCAATTGCTTGGCTTTATCTAACATTCTGCTTAAACCCTCCATTGCAAGTATGAAGAGAAAAGGAGAAAGTGGATCTCCCTGCCTCAAACCTCTTTGTGGGGAGAAAAACCCAACTGGACTTCTGTTGATGAGAATTGAGTATTTTACTGTAGAAATGTTGAAATTGATCCAATTGATCCATCTTTCACCGAACCCCATTTGCCTAAGGATGGAAAGAAGATATGACCAATTCAACTGATCAAAGGCCTTCTCTATATCCAACTTGCATAAGATGCCCGCCCCTCCGTTTTTTATTTTCCAATCAAGAACCTCATTTGCAATCAGTGAGGCATCAGTGATTTGCCTATCTTTAAGAAAAGCATTCTGGTGTTTAGAGACTAGCTTTCCCATAACTGTCTTTAACCTTTCTGCCAGGACTTTAGCTATGATCTTGTAGACACTCCCAATTAAACTAATTGGCCTATAATCTTTGAGTTCTATTGCTCCTTTTTTCTTGGGAATGAGAGCTATGAAGGAGGCATTGCATGATCTAACCATCCAACAATGTTGATGGTAATGGTTCATAGCTGCCAGTATGTCAACTTTGATGAAGTCCCATGATTTCTGATAAAATGCCATTGTGTACCCATCTGGCCCTGGTGCCTTGTCGGGAGCGCAAGACTGAATAGCTGCCAATACTTCCTCTTCTTGAAAAGTTGCTTCCAGATTAAACTTTTCCTCAACTGAGATGGATGGAATGCCCTCAAAGTTGGCTGAAGGCCTCTACTCTCAGCTGCTTGCTCAAAAGCTGCCAGCTCATCTAGAGCTCTGGTTTTCCTGGTCTCTACCTTGCCAAATTCTTCTCTGTTCCAGTTTGTTATATCCCTCTTCAACCTTTTCAGTTTCTGAAGTAGTACAAAGTCCGCCCTGCCCACTATATTGTAGCTCTGCCACCAATATTCTAGCTTCTCTAGAAACCCTTCTGATTGAAGCCACATGTTTTCAAACTTGAAGTATGAAGGGCTAACATCCCAGTCTCCGCATTCAAGTAGAATAGGTTTGTGATCAGAGATTACTTTTGGGAGAGCTGATTGTTTTACATCCTTGAATGAGTCACTCCACTCGGTGGAGATGAGAAATCTATCAATTCTAGATGCTTGCACAAAATTATCACCCCTAGACCATGTAAATTGAGCCCCTTGTAATGGCAAATCAATCAGGTTAAGGTCCTGAATGGTGTCTGAGAAGGATCTCATGGCACTAGTCCTTCTCAAGCAATTTAATTTCTCGCTTTCAAATCTGCACACATTGAAATCACCCCCTAATACCCAATGTCCATCCCATAACCCCCGAACTCCAGCAATTTCGTGCCACATCTCTTCCCTTTCCGAATCTGTGTGAGGTCCATAGATACCTGTAAAACACCATCTGAACTCCTCTTGAATGCTCTCTAGCATACAAGATATGGAATAAGAGCCTTGGAGAGTGTCTGTTTTGACCCACTGCCTCTTGTCCCAAATTATTATTATTCCACCCCTAGTACCACTTGCTTCTAAAGTTGCCCAGTCAGCCCACCTATTACCCCATATTTGTTGTATCCATGTAGTAGACCAATTCTCTACTTTTGTTTCTTGCAAACACAAAACATCGACTTTCCATTTTTGAATGAGAGATTTGATGGTGCTCCTCTTGCTACTCTCATTTACCCCCCTTACGTTCCAGCTTAGGATTTTTAGTTTCATCCAGAACCGGAGTTGTATTTCCTACCCCCAGTTCCATTGTTGTGTTGCCCCTTTTTGTCATAATTGATCCCACATATCAATCTTTTTATCTCCCCTTCTCCTTTGGCCTTCTTCTCTTTTCCAGGTTGTTGCTTGGGTTCTTGTTGTTGGATTTGGAACTGCCTCCTTTGCTCCATCCTTAGAATAATATCTAGAAGTTCATGTTCGAACCCAGTTGCGTTGACCCCGAAAGCTTTGCATGCCTTGACCATTTTAATTCTAGTCCACTTTGAAGTCTCAATTAGATTGGGCTTTTGAATTAACTGAGCTTCAGACCCACCTTCGTACCATGTTAAAGGGAGAGCTTCGCTGATCGAAATAGAGGAAAATTCCGAGTCTGATTGATTTGCGTGAGCCAAATCCAGTTTCAGAGTTGGATTGCGAAGAAGTAGAGGTTTCCTTCCATGAGAGTCTGCTTCGTCGTCTGCTTCTGATGGGCAGTTTTCACTGTTTTGACATGATTCTGTAATCAATGGAGCACTGACCATCGAACTTTGATGATGATCTTTTTCTGAAACCAACGACGGTATAGATAGGGCATTGAATCTGTTGTAATATGGGTTTGGCTTGTGGCCCACCACTTTCCAGATGGTCTTTTCTTTTAAAAGCTTTGACTCCTTTTGGGCTTTTTTAATTGGGCCTTTTTTGTAATAGGTTTTGTCTAAACCTTTATATCCTGATGGCCCAGCTGTAGAGTTAAAGTCAGCCCTTTTTCTTATTCCATTGATATTAGGGTTTGGCCCCACTATTTGATTAGCTGGCAAATTTGAATCAACTGTCAAGGGCACGTGCTGTGCCAGAGGTCTGACCACTGTGTTGACTTCTGCTTTCCTTGAAAACCCCGCCTCTTCTTCACCGACCTTCCTTTTTCCTTTCCGGTCAGCTTCTTCACCGGCGTCCCATATTTTTGTGTGAGCATCAGGAATCACCCAAATTTCATAGCTTAAATCAGCAACTTTTAACTCCAATTTACATGGTAGGTTTCTGTTTTTGTCCTTGATACAGATTCTCGCCCAAAGTAAATTGGATCTTTTCTTTGTGTCTTCATCAATATCAACATAACCACCACATAGTTCGCCGATCTTTTGGAATGAACTTTTAGACCAAGCATGTAATGGGATTCCGAAGGCTTTGATCCATCGATCTCCCAATGGTAGCACCTTCGTGTCCAGATCAACTAGTGGAGACCACCAGTCCAACGATAGTCTCCGGCCATTCCAAAACCAATCGCCCGCCTTGACTCTGGCTGCTTCTTGCCGTGATGGCATTTCAAAGAGAAAAAGGTTGTGTGAAATCGGAGAAACCTTTAAGCCTGCTGTCATCTTCCACCTTTTGCAGAACCACTTCTGAATGGTATCATAATGTGGGTTATTGTGAAAGGAATCATTGAATCTACCGACCAAGCATTTGTCGAGAAAATTGCGATTATCTGATGCAGTTGCTGGTATTGCCTGGTTGGGTCTGCTAGACTCTATTGTTGGCCACTTCTCCATCTTGGAGACTTCACAAAAGGATCTTGCTTGAGAGTTAGGGCTCCATCTCTCTGATTGCATAGGAGGTCTCCATAAAAATCTCAAGATTTTATTCGCGATGTCTTCCCATCCTCCATTGTCTACGATCTCTGGTATAATGACAGATGATTTCTTATCTCCCAACCATGCTTCAATTCTAACAAATCTGCCATAACTGTTAAAGTTCTGGTAGACCCTGAAAATATAAGCTTCGATTTTCCTTCCCCACCTTCTGCATAGCTTCCCTTCACCCTTGGAAGCTTCCTTCATGGCTCCACACACCCACATCTAGTCATGCAAAATAAGTCAATGGATGAGATGATAATATTTTCTGTTTTGAAACATAGGTCCTCGGCAGGCGGGAACAAAAAAGAGAAAGAAGCATTTCATACTGACCATTTGAAAAGTAACCCAAGGGTAAACATGATCTGGCCTATGTTAAGAGCCAAATGCCTATAAGTCCAGCCCAAGCCATTGTCAAACTTATCACAGCTTCATTGTAGAGAACCATCTGAAACTGCCGAACTCAGTAACTAATCTATATCTTTCCTTTTTTCCCCTCCAAATAGACCTTCCATAGACACTCACAAAGCACATGCAAGAATATATTTTAGCATATAAAAAGTTCCACTGACCATTCTATAAGTTAGAAAAATTAGAAAGAAAAAAAAAACATTTATATCACTAGAAGCATTTTAAAGGACCGTGAATTCAGCAATAAATAATCTATTTTGGCTCATGAATGACCTGGAAAAACTGTTCAGCAAATCCATTCACACTCTCAAACAGTGCCTGCCTTGAGTTAAGCTTCCTATATCTTCTGGAGAAGAATGATTTCTGCAACAATAGATGGCAATCAATATAACAATTCACCTAAAACATCATAAAATGAAGCATATCTCTGTAACTAAAATAGAATGCTGGCCGAGTAGGATTTTGTATGCTTATCAGAAACGCGACTTGTACTTGTCTTAGAAGACAAAAAAATTGAAAAAGAAATTGTAAGAAACTTGTTTTAGAAGACAAATTATTGAGTATTGGGATGAAACTGATCCAGATGAAACAGAATGGATATTGAAATTCGTGTAACACAGCAAACTAGTTTGGGACCAAGACTATTTTTATTGTATCAGAACCAATAACTTTTGCTAACACTCCCATATAGCAATATATAAATTTAACCACACTGCAATTATGGGAAGATTCAGTCTGACCTCATAAAATCTATAGACTAAAACTAGGGGTGTTCACGGTTTGGTTAAAAACCGTAAACCGATCCAAACCAAAAATCAAACCAAAATGATTAAATAAACTATTTTTTACTTGGTTTTGGCTTTGTTTAAATTTATGCTTCAAGAAACCGATAATATTTACTTTGGTTTTATTAAAAAAACAAAGCAAAGAAAAAATCAGACCAACCAATAAATTATATAAACAATTTTTATAATTATATATGTACTCCTTCCATTTTAATTTGTTTGTCTTACTTTCCTTTTTAGTCCGTTTCATAAAGGTCCCTTCCATTTTTTGACACCTCTTTAATTTCAGTTTTTTTTTTTTAAAGAAGGTTGTTGTTTTCTATTCCAAAAAATCAGAACCTGCCATAACATGTAACAGGTTCCTAATTACAATTGTGAAGAGTAGAAGGAAGATCTTCAATCCTAAAGCAAAATTTACAAGGAACCTAAAACACCTGTAACTGATTCTAAATATTCTACGTACTCCTATTTACACCAAAAAAGAAACAAAACTAAGCAGTTCATCTTAATCTTCTAGATGGAATTACTCTTGGCTTGGAAGCATCTGAGATTTCTTTCTTTCCACACAGACCACCAAATGCAAGCCGGAATGATTTTCCATCTCTCTTTATGCCCCGTAATGCTTGCATAACTGCTCCATATCCTCAAAGTCTGGGTAACTCTCCTAGGCATAACCCAGTTCATGCCCTTCAGGTTGATGAAGGCATTCCACAAAATGTTGGTTGTCCTACAGTGAAGGAAAAGATGGGTGATAGTCTTTACTTCTTCACCACATAGGAAGCACCTAGAACTCAGTTGAATATTTCTCTTCATAGGGTTTTCCTGGGTCAAAACTGTCTTCTTAGCAAGAAACCAAGTAAAACAAGACACTTCATAGGGGATTTTAGTTTTCCATATCAGCTTCCATGGCCACCCATTCCTCTGACTGTTACAAGGATTAAACTTCTTGTAGGTTCTTTTGACACTAAAATTGTCTTAATTTGTGATCCTGCCATCCCAAATTAATATGTGCATCAGTAGTTCCTTTGAACTACCACAAGACATTGTAAAACTCCACCAACCTGTGGATCTCCTAAAACTCAAATTCCACCCTTGGTTTGACCATTCTCTGCCACAGTGGCCCTTTGCTGCTGGCTTAGGGTGAAAATATTCGGGAACAAAGCTTTTAAAGATCCTTGTTATAGCCATATATCTTCCCAAAAAGAGGTCTTCCGACTATTACCCAATTTAATACTACAGTTTCCTCTGAACTTTGGCCAAAAGGTTTCTGATGGCTCTCCAAAGGCTTGATTCATAAGTGCTAGTGACCATTTCAGTTATCCAGTGATCCTCCATTTCACATTTGGCCTGTATTACTTCTTCCCACAGTGCTTGCTCAGTGGAGGCAAATCTCCACAGCCACTTCATCATAAGACATTGGTTCTAGATTTTTAAATTCCTTAGCCCCATACCCCTGCCTGTTTACTCTTAATAAGAGTATCCCACTTGACCAAGTGGAATTTCCTGGATTCACTATTTCCTTCCCACATGAAATTTCTTCTCAAAGCATCTACTCTATAAATGACACCATCAGGAATAGGGAAAAGAGACATCATATAGGTAGGCATAGAGTCCAAAACACTATTGATGAGTGTTAATTTTTTACCTAAAGAAAGGTAATGGCTCTTCCGATTCACCAACCTTTCTTCACATTTTTCAATCACCCCATTCAAGATGCCTGTGGATTTGCTTTTGCCTCCCAAAGGCATCCCCTTAATTTCAATTTTCCACATGACATGAAATCAAAGATTGAAATTTTGGTACATTCTACATATCTTTAGTTTGAGACTACAAAATTCAAAAATCTTTTTTTTTTTTTTAAGACGAGGGAAACCCGCAGCCGCTACCCTTTGGGTGCACACAGGGTAAAACCCCCGCTCCTATGCAATAGCTCGCACACCAAATAGGAGAGGTAACCCACACTAGGCAAGCCCGGTGCGACGAGCTCGACCCAGAAGGCAAACTCCTTGCTTTCGCTGGTGCTTTCTTAACTTCGTGACAAGACAAAACCAAACAAACAAATTGAAACAAAGGGAGTACAATATATTAATTTTTATAAATAACTTTAAATACTTAGCATAGTTTTTCATGAAAATTTATTTATCTCTAATAGGCTAATGAACTTTACACCTTAAGCTCATTCCTTAACAAAGTCGTGAATCCAAACTTATCTATTCAAAGAAACAACAATGAGATTTGCCTCTATATCTCTATATATTTCTTATCAACTTTATTCACTTGATTAAAGCTAATAGATCTTAAGATATTTTCTCCATAATCCAAGAAAATTATAGCTACCACAATAAAACGTTAATAACGGATTATAGGTGGAAGGGATGAAAAATTCTTTTTTAATTGTAGGAAAAAAATGAAAGAGTGAAATATCATTGTGTTTCTTACACCCCCGAACCAAACCAATGAATATGAATTATATTTGGTTTTGGTTTTAATAATTAAAAAACCGACTAAATTGGTTTGATTTTGGTTTTAACCAAAAACTAACCCAAACCGGATCATGAACATCCTTAACTTACATAAGCAAACATCATTCAACACCAAAAAAATCTTTCTAGCTTCTACACACCCAGAAAAACTGCATCATATAGGCTGAAACTCTGCGATTCCAACAGAATGAGCCCATGTTGCACAGTTTAATCACAAGATGAGCACAATTTTTTTGACAGTGAGTAACATGAACAGATCTGCGTTTGACATCCAGAAACACACTATCATTTTCAATCTGAGTTCCAATCAACTCAAAGCCTATATTCCCATTAAGACAGCAGCCTAAAGATTTATTAGACTTTGGTAAACCCCACCCTGAAACTAATTTATTAGACTTAGGTAAACCCCACCCTGAAAACTATGTTACCTAAAGCCAAGAGTCAACGCAAGCAGCAGGGAAGAGTATTATTGCCATCCTCTTTAGTCTAGTACAAAAGAAAGTTTTATGTCATGTAGCTGATTTTTAGGTTTTGTGTACTAGGATGATTGCGAAAGCTACTTAGTAGCAAAACATCATGTAGACAGAACACTGCTAAGAAGACCTTTACTATGCATTTTGACATTGGGACAAAATGATCTGTCGCTTCACCTTGCTTCTCACTTATAGCGGGCGCTTCAGCGCTTTTAACAACACTAATCTGAGATAAGGTAGGAGTTGCCTCCGTGGTGACGAGATGAGGGAAGCGAGACTGAGATGGTTTGGACACGTGAAGAGATGCAGAGATGCCCCAACAGAAGGTGTGAAAAGTTGACTTTGGTAGGTATGAAGAGAGGTAGAGGTAGTTGAAGAAATTTTGGGGAGATGTGATTAGACAAGATAAGACAAACTTGCAGCTCATCGAGGACATGACCCTAAATAGAAAGATTTGGAGGTCGTGTATTAGGGTAGTGTTAGAATAGGAATAGGTATATGAATAGTATATAATATCCAAAGAGAACACAACGTTATCTCTCTCTTTCTCTCTCTTCTCTCTCTCTCTCCGCTCCATGATGGAGGGGAGAACTCCTCTCCGGTGATCCTTTGATCATCGGAATCTTCCCTTCTTCTTCTCCTCTTTCTCTCTCTTCTCTTTTCTTTCTCTCTGCTCCAAGATGGAGGGGAGAACTTTTTTTACTGCTGGTGAGAAATCTTTTGAATTTATAGACATCAGTGAAGATCGGGTAAGATGGTTTAAGCTATGCGAACGCAGCAGGAGGTTCGTTGGAAGAATTCGAATCGATGAAAACAATTTAAGGTGGGTGTGTGGAGCCATGAAGGAAGCTTCCAAGGGTGAAGGGAAGCTATGCAGAAGGTGGGGAAGGAAAATCGAAGCTTATATTTTCAGGGTCTACCAGAACTTTAACAGTTATGGCAGATTTGTTAGAATTGAAGCATGGTTGGGAGATAAGAAATCATCTGTCATTATACCAGAGATCGTAGACAATGGAGGATGGGAAGACATCGCGAATAAAATCTTGAGATTTTTATGGAGACCTCCTATGCAATCAGAGAGATGGAGCCCTAACTCTCAAGCAAGATCCTTTTGTGAAGTCTCCAAGATGGAGAAGTGGCCGACAATAGAGTCTAGCAGACCCAACCAGGCAATACCAGCAACTGCATCAGATAATCGCAATTTTCTCGACAAATGCTTGGTCGGTAGATTCAATGATTCCTTTCACAATAACCCACATTATGATACCATTCAGAAGTGGTTCTGCAAAAGGTGGAAGATGACAGCAGGCTTAAAGGTTTCTCCGATTTCACACAACCTTTTTCTCTTTGAAATGCCATCACGGCAAGAAGCAGCCAGAGTCAAGGCGGGCGATTGGTTTTGGAATGGCCGGAGACTATCGTTGGACTGGTGGTCTCCACTAGTTGATCTGGACACGAAGGTGCTACCATTGGGAGATCGATGGATCAAAGCCTTCGGAATCCCATTACATGCTTGGTCTAAAAGTTCATTCCAAAAGATCGGCGAACTATGTGGTGGTTATGTTGATATTGATGAAGACACAAAGAAAAGATCCAATTTACTTTGGGCGAGAATCTGTATC